CCTTTGTGGATCCGGTAGGAGCAGCGGTAGTCGGCGGGCAGCTGGCAGCCAATCTGCGCTTCCACGGCATCCAGGTCGTCTTCGCGAGCACCCTCTGTAAACGCACAGAAAGTACAAGGGGGCACACTCAGCCAGCCAGGAGGCCATGGGACCTCCTCGCTAACTGACCACGCCCGCTCAGCCTGAGCAGACTGCACCCTCACAACGAGCGGCTGAAATGTGGGGACGTGAGCCGGGCTGATCAGAAGCATCAGGTTCCTCAGGTCCCTGCGACCAGGGCACTGGCACCTCGTGGAACACAAACATGTGCGCACTGACGGGGCACATGTGCTTTCCAAAGGACAACGCGAGCCTTTCCAGCAGACCTTGCTTTTACAAATGTACAAGTGTGCTGCTGTTTATTAAAGCAAGGCCGACAAGCACTAAACGCTGCAGAAACTGGACTGCTGGTGCACAGCGTCGCAGAGCCTCTCACCAGGGACACGGGCCGCGGGGCGCAGCTCGCGCTGGGGGAAGCAGCTGCGTGGACAGGGTGCTCCATGCTTGTGGACTTAGCACGCGCCCTGGCTGCAAGGACACGGAACTGCGCTTGCTAAGAGAGGCGTGGCGCCCGGCAGCGACCCACCAGGCCACGGCCACTCTTGCCTGCACAACAGGTAACTCGGTAACTGGGTTTAGGACTTTCAGAGCACTACCAAGGCAAGGAGGCTCCAGGAGAAGAGGGGGCGTGAGGTTGGCAGCACCTGGAGAGCCCCCCACCGGAGGCAAGTGCCGATTCTGAAAACGCATGCACTGGGAGGGAGGATGCTGAGCAGAGCCCGGCAGGCCGGGACTGGGCCCGCAGGGAGAGAGGAGTGGGGAGGCCAAGGCGGCTGGATTGGGGTCCTGAAGGGCCCGGTCCTCAGAACAGGGTGAATGAAAGGCGGACTGGTTCTCACAACGACTCCTGCCAGCTTCCCATCACACCTGCGTTGGCTGCACTGCAGGGACCGGCTGCTGACTCACTGCCAGCCCATAGCCATGGTCTCCAGAACAAAGTGGTGTTTCCCCAGACTCAAACTCCATCAAGGGGAACCAGCAGTTAGCGTAATGGCTATGTCGCTGGACTCCCACGTAGTCGACCGCAGTTCGTGTCCCGGACCCGGTGGCTTAAAACTCACGCCGGGCGCGTGTGCGTGCGTGCCCAAGATCCCGAGAGGAGAAGGGAGGAGAAGGGATTGCGGCGTGACCATCCCCCCTGGGGGGTGATTTCTCATTTTCTGTCTCTATGTCTCTCTCTGTCTGGTGCGTGCACGCGCCCTACAGTGAAAATCTCTCCAAAAAAAGAAAAAAAAAAAAAAAACTCCATCAAGCAAGCAATCAAAAACAAATAATAGAAACCAGGCCTGTACGACAACAAGAGCTGACCACAGGGCAGACAAGAGCGAGCTGGTGGTGTGATGGTGACAGCAGCTGGACCCCACACGGCTGCTGTGCGGTTCGAGTCCCGAACACAGTGCCTAGAAAATCACGCCGGGCATGTGTATGGGCGTGCCCAGAATCCCCGGAGACGGAAGGAGAAGGGCTGCGACATGGCCATCCTCCGCGGGCTGGTACCTCACTTTCTCCTCCTCTCTGAAGAGCACTCGTGCCCCATAACAAAACTAAGAAAACTAAAAGAGCAGCCAGATGAGGGCAAAGACACAGTTACCTTCAAAGGAACAATGGTGAAACTGACGTCCGAATTCTCAACAGAACTCAGATGAGCTCTTCGGAAAAGGGGCTGAGGCGTGACCGCCTACCCTGACAGCAGTCTCTCCCTCTGCCTCTCACTCGCCCGCTCGCTCTGTCTCTGGTCAGCGCATACACCCTCTGGCAAAACTGTACAAAGAAGGATCTCCTGGAGGCGGGAACAAAAATGACTGCTGACTACACCCTCCAACGATGAGGATGGATAAATCCACGTCAGGCCCGAGAGGTGGGGCGTCAGCAGCAGCCTCAGGCAGGAAACCAGGAGGAGAAGCAGGACCCAGAGTGGGCGTGGAGACACAGGGAGGAAATGGAACTAAGGACAGCACAGGAAGGAGCAGTGAGCAAGTGGGAGCGGTGAGAGCAAACAGAGATGGCATGCTTAGCTCAGGGAGTTAGTGCAGATAGAGTAAGGGACCTGCCGCCATCTCAGTAACAAATGAGGGGCTCGAAAGGTGAAGCAGACCTGTACACAGTCTGCTAACGCGGATGGAGGGGACATACGGAACTGTACACAGTCTGCTAACGCGGATGGAGGGGAGATACGGAACTGTACACAGTCTGCTAATGTGGATGGAGGGAAGATATGGAGTTGTACACACAAAAAAGAGAATAATATACAAGAAATACTAGATACCAGTAAACGTCCAAACATCTGGATCATCGGTATCCCAGAAGGTGAAGAGACTAATCAGGGCATTGGTAATCTAGTCCATGAAACCCTGCAAGAAAACTTTCCAAACCTGGAGAGGCATTCAAACATCTAGACCCAAGAAAGACAAAGGACCCCTCATAGGATCAACCCAAGAAGATCTTCTGCAAGACACATCATAGCCAGAATGACCAAAACCACAGACAGGGACAAGATACCCAATTCCCTGCAAAGGATATCCCATCAGGCTGACAGCAGACCTCTCATCGGAAACAATGAGAGCGAGGAAAGAATGGGAAAATAGATTCCAAGTATTGACTGAAAAACAGTTTCAACAGAGAATACTATACCCTGCAAGATTATCCTTCATATGGGAAGAGAAGACAAGAACATGATCAGATAAACAAACCTGAAAGAATTTACCAGCACCAGACCAGCTCCCCAAGAAGTTCTGAAGGGAGCGCTATCCCAGAAAAACTAAAGTCAGACACACAGAAATAAGAGTTCTAAAACAACGAAGAAAATGGTCAGCTTAATGGTCGGGACAAGTCCAGAGTTGAACGCTATCTTCCAGAACTTACATGGAAAGATCGGATCACAAAGAAGATAAAGTACCTGAGTTTGAACTGGTGAGATAGAATTTTATGACTTTTGACTAAAACATTACTGACCTTCTATGCTTTGTTTTCCAGAACTAAAGAATTTTGTCTTCTCTCAAGCTGTCGACAGGTCCATGTGCCTACTATTCGAACAGAATCCTAACCTGTACCTGGCTTTAAATTTTAAGCAGTACTCTTAACATTTTTTTGATTTTGATTTATTAAAGCTAAGACGGCCTTTCTTGAACTTAAAATACCTATTTAATGACCACAGTAAGCTAGATAGCCTCAGCTAGATGCTACTTTATAGTATATTCATTCTACCCACAGAGTTTCATGCCTAAAGTCAACTTGTGTTCACAGATACGCATATATCAGCTGAACTTGCCACTGAACGTATTTAGATTAAGATATTTTGCTATTGAACTTGCTGTTGAACATATTTAGATGAAGGTATTTTGTGAATCAATGATACGTAGGAGAGAATAAAGGAATGGAAAGCAACTGCAGACGCCAGAGACAGGGTGGGAGGAGGGTGGGCAATGGCAGAGGTGAGAAAGGGGGGGAATATATATACACATATAACAAGAAATGAAAAACTGTTTGTTGACAACAACATCTATGATCACCCCACTTTACAGTGTACTCTGGCTGGGAAAATCACATTATGCTGTGGTGATGCGCTGTGAAAGAATGTAAAATAAATACTAAAAGAAAAGGGAAATTACAATGGAGATAGGAAATGTAAAAGGAATGCCATTCCAAAGAATCTTTAGTTCTAAAGGAAGGAAAACATTTGAGAAGAACTGATTCTAATTTTATCTCACCAAAACCAAAACATGGGTACAATGCCTTTCAGTGGAGAAGTCTGGAAAAACTGAAGAAGGCTGAGCAGAGAAGCTGCAACGTCTACAATCAATCCATGTGGTTTTATGGGCGTCAACTACCATGTCGAGTTGACTGAGGTATCCTGTTAATATTTCTCGCCACAATGACACGACAGCGTGGCACAGAGGGGGCAAGGTGGGGTTGGACAGGTCTCAGGGCACATCTTCCTCACCCTACTCTGCAAATGTCCAAATACCGGCAGAACTCGCCTTGCGCTACCATGTTGCTCTTACATGCTTTTTGTTTTTTTTAGTAGTTTTTGCCTTAGGGTACATGTGCTCACTAGAGAGAGAGACAGAGACAGTGAGAGGGACAGTGAGAAATCAGCCCCTGGGGGGATGGCGACACCACACTTCCTTCTCGCCCTGGGATCTTGGGCACACACACACACACACACACACACGCCTGGTGTGACTCTGAAACCACTGGGTCCAGGACTTGAACCACGGTTGGTCATGTGGGAGTCCAGTGATGTAACCACTATGCCATCTGCCGGTCGTGCTCTGACACTCTTTAAGACTCAGGCTCTTTCCTTATTAGACTGTCAAACAAACATTCACTTCCACTTCAAATAGAAGAGAGTCCTGACAAAGCAGGCGGGTTTTCAATTAGACTCTGTTGGGGCCAGAAAGTAGCATAGTGCTGAGGCAGCGGGACCCCGGCGGGAGGTCCGGGAGTGCCGCAGGCCCTGCTCGCCAGGCCAGGCAGGTGCACGTGTGCCCAGAGGTGGGACTGGCTGGGCTGGGGGTGGGCTGTGACACAAGGGGCCTATGGGGACAGCCATGTGTGTGTGTGTGTGAGGGTGAGGGTGTGTTTCCCTCTCTCTCTGATGAAAGAAAGAAGCAAATACACTTTAGGGTCCTGCCAGTGGTGTGGTGTGTAAGAGGCTGAATCCCACATGGCTGACTGTGTGTCTGAGTTCTGGACCTGGCAGTTTGAGAAACATGCCCGGTGTGTGTGTGTGTGTGTGTGTGTGTGTGTGCATGTGGTGGGAGAAATGGAGGAGAGGGGATTGCAGCCTGGCCTTTCCCCAAGGCAGTGCTTTCTCACTTTGCTTCTCTCTCTGTTTCTCGCTGACAAGTGCACACACCTGCTGGCAAAATATTTTTTAATTTAAAAGTTTAAAAAATATATATACTATAAAAATGTTTGAAAAGAAATCAGAAAAGTGGTTGTCAAGCAATCTTACCATTACTAGTTTCCTCACATAAAATAAAACCATGGATGGGAACCAGCAGTTAGCGTAATGGCTATGTCGCTGGACTCCCACGTAGTCGACCGCAGTTCACGTCCCAGACCCGGTGGCTTAAAACTCACGCTGGGCGTGTGTGCGTGCATGCCCAAGATCCCGAGAGGAGAATGGAGGAGAAGGGATTGCGGCGTGACCATCCCCGTGGGGGGTGATTTCTTGCTTTCTGTTTCTATGTCTCTCTCTGTCTGGCAAGCGCACATGCCCTATAGTGAAAAACCTCTCCCAAAAAAAAAAAAAAACCATGGATGAAGGCGTCCGGCCTTCCCTTCTTTCTCTTTCTCCGAGTCAAGCTCTCACTGTGTCGCCCAGGCTAGCCACAGCTCAGTCCTCCCCACAGCTCCATGGGTTGGCAGGTGCGGCTCCGGGAGTGCACAGACCACCGGCTCAGCCCTCCTTCCTCGCAGGGAGCCGCGTGGTCTGGGTGGAACAGGCGGGGCAGGCGGCAGGGCACTGAGCAGGCTCTGAGCACCATGGCAGCCCCGCGCCGTGGCCCAGGGTGAGAGCCGTGATCTGAGCTCACCTGCCCACACTCACGGCAATGCAGGGCTATCCCCCATTCCCAGTACCTTTCAGAGAGAGAACCATCCGAGGACACCTGGGCTCCAAATACTTCTTGAGATCATCCCAGGCCTTTTTAATAGCAGCATAATGGTCAATGTATCTTCCTACGTCGGAGTAAGTATCTATGAAGAGAGACTTCCAGCACTGGTTCTTCTGAGCTTTCTCTTCTCTAAACACATTAAAGGATGGGATTAAAATCTTCAGGGGGACACAGCACGTACCCGACACTCAGCAATGTACTCACTAGGGTCTGGGGCTACCAGGGGTGGAGGTCATGTCATTCACTTTCTAACTTTTTACTTATTTTTACTAAACTGTCTAATCCTTAATAAAATATGACGTGACTAGTTTGTGGGGCGTAAATTTCAACTGAACTCGCAAAAACCCATCCTGTAAATCTTAGAGGTGTGCACGGCCGCTGGCTGAGCGCTTGCAGTCCCATGGCAGGACCCAGCACAGCTGCTGGGCGAGCCGGGGCTGCAGGCAGCTCGGGACTGCAGGAGTCGGCGCTCATGCCCACCGGCTCCCAGACGCCCAGCGAGTGTCCACCGGGCCGACAACATAAACTAGGGCCTATTTTTTGCCTTCACAATATGGGGGCCAGTTCTGGGGCCTGGTCGGTGAGGCAGCCGGATTCCACATGGCTGACCGCATGGTTCGAGTCTCAGAGACGGACTGAGCATACCTGCGTGCCCACGACCTCAGAGAAGGAGGGATGGAAGAGAAGGGGTGTGGTGTGGTCACCCCCATGAGGGTGCACTCTCCTCTGCCCATTGCTCTCTGGCTCACACACGCACCAAAGTGCGCTCTACAGACAAGCCCATGGCCTCATGCTTAAGGAACCCAGCGCCCACACGGCCAGCCCTACAGTCCAAGTGTCAGACCCAGTGGCTCGAGAACACATGCCAGGTGCACATGCCAGCACAGGCGTGCCCCAACCCCGATGAGATGGAAGAGAAGGGACTGAGCCGCGACTTTGCTCCACTGGGTGCTTCTTCTGCGCCCTCGCTCTGTGGCGACTGCGTGCACCTGCAGGCCGTTCTCTCCAGTCAGGGAGAAAGGACGAAGTACAAACGCAAAGTAACAAGTAGCAGAGGCCGTGACAGCCCCGAAGATGAGGACGACCCTAGGTGGCACACTGAGGGGCTCGGACGCAGCCCACAGGGCGTGCTGCTGGAGGGCTCAGGGGGTAGCTGAGGGAGGAGCAGCTCTGCAGCTGCGGTTAGCACAGGGTGCATCTAACGGAGTAAGCTAGAAGCACAGAGATGGTTGGGAGGGTGGGCTGAACTAAAAGGGGCAGTTAGGTGAGATGAAAAGGAAACCAGAAATATGTACAGGCTAGGAGCAGCCCTGTAGCCTAGTGGGCAAGGCAGCCTGACCCCATGGCTGGCCATGGTTGGAAACTCGGCCCCAGAAGCTTGATAAACATCCCAGGCACAAGTGCATGCACGTCCCAAATCCCAACAGGATGGAGAAGTGGAGAAGGAACATGGCTGAGCCGGCCCAGTGAGAGGTGCCTTCTCTCCCTCCATCTCTGTGTCTCTCTGCACCCTCTGGCAAACACATGTGCTCTCTGGCAACTGGGAAGTGTGTGTGTGTGTGTGTGTGTGTGTGTGTGTGAAATATACGGAGACTAAAATCGGACAAGCTTGGTAACTGAGTGAACGTAAGGGAGCGGCGAGCGGGGAGGGCTAGGGTGGCTGCTGATTCTGGCCCGGATGCCTGGGGAGCCAGGGCTGCCACAGAGACTCGAGTGCAGCGCTGGGTCAGGACTGAGGGCAAGAACAGTCCAGGGTAGTTTGTTCTTGGAGGTGCAAGGGAAGGGGAACATACTTTATGAACTTAAATAACATTATTTAATTAATATCACACATTATCAAAACTAAAAAGTACCAAAGAACTTATGATTTTTCTCTTTTAGGTTTTTGCCATAGGGCATGTGCACTCTCTGGAGAAAGAGAGAGACAGGGAATGTGAGAAATCACCCCCGGGGGTGGCCATGCTGCGATCCCTTCCCTCCCATTCTCCTCCTGGGATTTGGGCACGCACGCACACGTGCCCAGCATGGTTTTCAAGATGCCAGGTCTGGGACTCCACTGCAGTCAGCCACGTAAGAGTCCAGCACCTGAACCAGCACGCCATCTACTGGCCTCGCCAGCCTTCTATCCTAAGCCCAGCCTTTGAAAGGACGCGTCCCTTGTGTCTGGAAGGGACAGCTGTGACTGTCACCGTAAACGCTGTACTTCTAGCTCTGGACTTAGCGGTGTGACATGCAGGCACTGACTCCAAGTGGACGAGAAAGATGCAGCAGTGCCTCCAACCCCTCTCCGGCCCTTCCTTCTCCCAGAGCAACAACTCGGTTGCTATTTTAGTTCTACCAAGAGTCTGCAGCTTTAAATAATACCCCAAAACCTCTATTTCTTATTCGGCCAACTTGGGTCATGCTCCGATCCCCTTAATCTAAGAAAAAGACACTGTACTAGTAACCCCACCTTCCCTGTCCCCTTCTCCAGCCCCCACCTCTGTCACCCACAAGCTTACTCGGTCAGGACCTGTCACCAGTGCTGCCTCGAGCTCTCTCGTGGGACGGCTGTACACACAAGCCTGAGCACAGGGGGAGGCCAGAGTGGTCGGCCTGACCTGCCCCAGCGCTCGCAGGAGAGCACAGGGACAGAGAAGATGGGGCTGCGGCCACAGTGGGGGCAGCGCCAGGCAGAGGCAGGGTGGGAGAGGGGCTGGGGCGCCCCCAGGTCCCCGCGTACTCACTCTGATATCAGCCAGTACTTTTTGCAGTGTCTCCTCCACAGCGGATCGTGACTCGAGAGCTGGCTGAGTCTCCTGCTGACGTAGCAACAGCTGGCGGTCCCCGAGTCACGGTGAGTACAGGAGGAAGGAAGTGATGGAGGGGTAAGGATGAAGACATTCGTTAAGTTTCGTTTTACGATTTTGCTACAGGGCACACACACGCCAGCCAGCCAGACGGAAAATGAGAAATTACCACGCATGGGCACCACGCAGCAGTCCCGTCCTCCAGTCTGCTCCCCTGCCCGGGGACGCCCGCACACAGCTGCCCCACCTCCCTCCCGTGGTTTTCGAGCTGCCTGGTCCGGGACCCGAGACTCCAAGGCGGAGTCAGCCACCTTAACGCCACCTGCACCTTTCCTTATTAGCCACTTACTCCGCCCTGACACTCCTAGAACAGGTTTCCTGGACCCACGCAGTGAGTCCGCTGCCTGATGGCCTCGAGTATGAGACCTTACCTATTTTAGCTGACAGAGAAAGCCAGAACCCTCCACAGCTATAATCCTCAGAGGGGCCACATCACGCACGTGCGACTGCAGTAAGCCTCGAGCCCACGGGCTCCACGGGCAGTCGCCACAGGAGGCACTGCTGTGTCCCGAGAGGGAGGCGACAGGGCAGAGGGCGCTGGGCTGTACCCAGAGGGCCTAAGATGTAGGGCTCTGAGCACACGCGTCTTCTGATCTGTGTGTTTCTAGACAGACGCGTCTTATCTGTGTGTTTCTAAGCACACGTGTCTTCTGATCTGTGTGTTTCTAAACAGACGCGTCTTCTGATCTGTGTGTTTCTAAGCAGACGCGTCTTCTGATCTGTGTGTCTCTGAGCACACACGACTTCTGATCTGTGTGTTTCTGAGCACACGCGTCTTCTGATCTGTGTGTTTCTGAGCACACGCGTCTTCTGATCTGTGTGTTTCTGAGCAGACGCGTCTTCTGATCTGTGTGTTTCTGAGCACACGCGTCTTCTGATCTGTGTTTCTAAACAGACGCGTCTTCTGATCTGTGTGTTTCTAAGCAGACGCGTCTTCTGATCTGTGTGTTTCTAAGCAGACGCGTCTTCTGATCTGTGTGTTTCTAAGCAGACGCGTCTTCTGATCTGTGTGTTTCTAAGCAGACGCGTCTTCTGATCTGTGTGTCTCTGAGCACACACGACTTCTGATCTGTGTGTTTCTGAGCACACGCGTCTTCTGATCTGTGTGTTTCTAAGCACACGCGTCTTCTGATCTGTGTGTTTCTGAGCAGACGCGCCTTCTGATTTGTTCTTTTTCTTAGAAGAAAAAATATTGCAGTCAAAAATCACCTTTTCAACCAACTATCAGAGAATCCACCTATAAAAGGTGCCCATATTATAATTCTTTTTTTGAAGAATTGTTTAACTTTATTTTATTTATTTTAATTTGACCAGAGAGGGACAGAGTGAGTGAGAGAGAGAGAGAGAGAGAGAAAGCGAGAAAGCGAGCTGACAGGTCTAGGACTTGAACCACGGTTGGTCGTGTGGGAGTTCAGTGTCCTCAACCATCACACCACCTATCAGCCCGGATATGGTAACACTTCTAAATCAGTATGAACAGTTATATGAGGGGACTTCAAAAAGTCATGGAACAATGGAATTAAAGTAAGAGTTTATTTTGGTACAAAACGATTTTTAAATCCCAGCATAGTGTTTTTATACTACACCTTTCTCACGAACTTTTTAAAAGATCTCTCATACAACTCATCAGCTATCTTAAAACACAACAATGGAAGCACATAGTTTTCTTACTATATAGAGATTTCTTTTTTTAATATATAGTTTTATTTTTCTTTTGCCCTGGGGTACATGTGCTCATGGGGGGTGGCGGGGAAGAAAGAGAGAGAAAGAGAAAGAGAGAGACAGAGAGAGGCAAAGTGAGAAATCACCCCCCGGGGATGGCACGCCACTTTACTCCTCCTCCACTCTCCTCTCAGGTTCTGGGCACAACATGCACGCACAGCGTGATTTTCAAGACACTGGGTCTGGCACTCCAGCCATGGTTGGCACGTGGGAATGCAGTGCATTAACCACCACACCACCTGCTGGTCCCACTACACAGAGATTCTAATACCACAGTGCTCCACTTCTGCACACGCTACCATACATAAATAATTGCAAAAGAACAGACGTAAAGAGAGAAAAATAGATTTCTATCCTTGCACTAGGGAAATCACATTGGGCAATAGCTAATCAATCAATGAACAGAATCTAAGTCACAGGGGAATTGTCAAGGTCACGAGTAAAGCATATTAAAAAACACTCTCGGGGGACCAGCAGATGGCGTAATGGTTTGTCACTGGACTGCCACGTCGTCAACCACGGTTCAAGTCTCAGACTCAGAGGCTGCATGTGTGTCAGCATGCCCAAAATTCTGAGAGGAGAATGGAGAAGGGATTGTGGCATGGTCATCCCCCCGGGGGGAGCAATTTCTCACTTTCTCTCTCTTTGGTGAGTGCACACGACCTATAGCAAAACTCTAAGAAGAAAACTCTTGGAACCAGTAGATGGTGTAGCGGTTAGGTTGCTGGACTCCCACATGGCTGAGCACAGTTTAAGACCTGGACCTGGAGGCTTGAAACTCACGCCAGCAGCATGTGTGGGCGTGCTCAAGATCCCGAGAGGAGAACAGAGAATGGAGAAGGGATTGCAGCATGGCCTTCCCCCCGGGGCGGGGGGGTGATTTCTCATTTTCTCTCTGCCCCTCTGGTGAGCACATGTGCCCTATAGCAAATATCTCTTAAAAACTCTATGGGGGCCAAAAGGTGGTGTGATGGTTAAGGTGCTGGACTTCCACATAGCCAACCGCAGTTCAAGTCCCAGACCAGGTGGCTTGAAAATCATGTTGGGCACCTGTGTATGCATGCCCAAAATCCCAAGAGGAGAATGAAGAAGGGATTACAATGTGGCCATCCTCCCTGGGAGGGGATTTCTCACTTCTCAGTGTCTCCCTGTCTCCCTCCAGTCAGCAAACACACCCAATGGTGAAAACCTAAAGAGCAAACGAACGAACAAAACAACACGCTCTCCGCTCGGCCCGTGCCCAGGGTTAAGGGAGCAGGGTACCATATGGCTGACCGGCTTCAGCCCCAGCCCCAGTGACATGGAAACCGTGCTGGGTAGGTGCCTTGGGGCCTCAAATCCCGACAGGGTGAAGACATGGAGCCTAGGCTGGGAAGGGCCCCCTCCTCCATTTGCCCGCACATGCCTTGCAGCACATGAAACAAGCCAGACGGCCCACCTGAGGGTGGCAGCACGCCTCCATCCCGGTTTATGCAGCCCCATCCTTATCCTTCCTCACAAACCTCGGGCAATGAGCACGCGAGCGTGTGCACAGAAGAACCCCCGCGTCTACGCGTTTACGGATTCCGGCCCCACTCCATCCAAGGCCCTCGCTCACTGTCACAGCAGCTGGACATGGAGGGCCCCAGAGTGGCTCTGATGCACTTCGAGGTTGCAAAGCACGGCCCCGGGGACTCTGAGCTGGCGGGTGTGGACGGAGTCCGCACCAGACACCTGTCTGTCGCAGCAGTGTGGCTGGTAGCTTGGGTGTGTGAGGGTTGGGAACGTACACTGCAAAGCCCCGGGATGGAGAAGGCGTCACACGATCCCAGGCGCAAATCATGCAACTGACACCCGGGCCGGCACTGCCCAACAGTCCAACAGACAGGGAGCAGAAGCGTCAGGACGGAGCGGCAGGCTGGGCAGCGGCAGACCCGGTCGGGAGGTGCAGGGCAGAAGCTGCGACACACTGGGCACTCCCGTGGGCCACATTCAACGGGACAACGCAGCCCTGCAGCCCTGCACGCATTCAAAGAGGGCCCTGTCAGCCCAGTATAAAATTCTGGCTGCTACCTGAGGCGTGAAATCAGATCCCCCCTGGCTCACAAGGTCCCTGTGATCTTACCACCTCCCCTCAGCCCTGCTGTGAGTCACACCCACGTCCAACAGCCTTCCAGCTCTGGCCGGCCTAGGTAAGGCTTGGAAGGCTGGCCTGACCTAGTGGCCCCGACACGCTGTGCCTCTGCCGGGACGGCCCTGCCTGGCCAGCAGTGGCCCTTCCTCCCCACTCTACCAGAGCGACTGAACCTTGTCCCCAGCACCTCGCGCACGCAGGTGCTCACCCACCTCCCCTCTGCCCACTGGCCAGGGCGTGCACGGGGCCTCACTGGTCTTGCTCCGCACTGCGCCCCAGCACCTGGCAGGCTGGTGCATAGTAGGCACTCAAGAAAAAAAGAGAAAAAAAGAAAAAGCTTTTTTCTCTTTGAATAAACAATTACAGGCATGGGGCCAGCAGACGGGGTAATGGTTACACTGCTGGACTCCCACATGGCCGGCTGTGGTTTGGGTCGACCCGATGGGGAGTGCCCCAGATCCTGGGAGGAGAATGGAGAAGGGATTGCTGCTGTGGTCATCCTCCCTGGGGGGGGGTGTGTGTGTGATTTCCCACTTTCTCTTTTACTGTCTCTGTCTCTCTTTCCAGTGATTATACACACCCTAAGGCAAAAACCCGGCAGGGCAGTTCGAGTCTGCACGAAGGAAGGCCAAGCGGGCTCCTACAGGAATAGGCCTTGGGGTTGGGAAGAGGTGGGCAGGACTGTACGGCAGCCGCCAGGTGTGAGGACAGCGCCAGGAAAGCCACCTCGGACTAAGGCAGCCCACCAGCCCTCCCCTGCCCCGGGGGGTCTGTAAAGAACCCTATGGTCCCCAGTTTTTTTTGTTTTTTTTTGTTTTTTTTTTTTTTTGTGAGGTTTTTGTTTTAGTTTTTTTTTCTCCAGAAAGAGAGAGAGACAGAAAGCAAGTAATCACCCCCAGGGGGCATGGTCATACCGCAATCCCTTCTCCTCCATTCTCCTCTTGGGATCTTGGGCACACAAGCACACGCGCCCAGCGGGAGTTTAAGCCACTGGGTCCGGGACACAAACTGCGGTCGACAACGTGGGAGTCCAGCGACATAGCCATTATGCTAACTGCTGCTCCTGGTCCCCAGTTTTTAAGGAGGGCGTCTAGACCTGTCAGAAAATCACGCAGGCAGTGATCGAAAATGG